AACAGGGAAATAGGTAAACATAATAACAGGTACAAGGTGATAGAGTAAAGGAGGGTTAGAGGGAAGGAAATTTGAGGTCAAGAACACTTTCAGCTGTAAGGAGTAAGGAGAGACCTTGGGAAAAGCTTCATGGAAAAGATAGCACCTGAGCTTGTTTTGAAGGAAGAGAATGGAAATTCATTCTAGAGTTGGAGGCAGCTCTACTGCTTTTAAAAACTAGCCCATTTACTTAAAAGTTTCAAGTGAATTGAGAAAATTTTTTTTTCAGTAGAGTGAAAAATTTAGCTATACCCCTGGAGATAATTGGTGACTCCCTGCCCCCCCTCTTCCAGCAGCATCACATACTAAACTTAGGTTGGTAATCATTGGGTCTTAGTTGATATTAAAATGCAACTGTATTTCCTGGCCACATATTCCCTCTCTGAGGAGCAGGCTTATTAGCAGAGAAAAAATGGTCTAAGATTTCAAATGTGCCCCACAAAATAAATAATCAGAGTTGCTTACATATGGATCTTCTCCTCCTACAGCATCTCCTGCTACCCCGGGGCCCATCCGGCTGGAGGAGAATGTCCCTGGGACAGTGACAGCAGTGTGGGAGCCACCTCCAGATGATGGTCAGGGTGGCTTGCTCTATTACACTGTGCTAACACGCTCCTCAGCCTGCGTTGCCTGGCAGGAAGCAGGGGACCGGATCTACACCAATCATTTCACTCTTGCTGGCATCCTCCCTGGCCATCAGTATTACTTCCGAGTTGTGGCTAAGAATGAGCTGGGGACCAGTGAGCCCTCTGACACAACAGAGCCCTGGAGTGTCCCCCGGCAACAAGGTGCGAGGGTCTATGCCTTGGCCCTGGGGGTCTTTCTAGTGAATCACCCTTGAAAAAGACAAGGAGAGAGGGGTTTTCAGAAATAAATGGGAGGACTCAGGGTCCAGGAGGTATCATTTTCATAACTTGGAAACATAAAATGTAAGAGCTAGAAGGGATCTCTAAGGCCATCTAGCCCAGTTTCCTCATTTTATAAAAAACAAAACTGAGACCCAGAGTGGAGAGGTGAGCTCGTATAAGGTTATACATTAATTTAGTATTAAAGCAGAGATCAAAACCTGGGCTCCAGGATCCCTGGCCATTGCACTAGACAGTGCTGTAGGTTTCATAACTCCAGAGCTGTAGGAGAACTTGGAAGAATGAGCACAGGAGAGGGGAGGGTGAGAACAGAGCTGTAGCCTAAGTTTAGGTGGCAGCCTGGAGTTGTTGACCACTTTTCTCCTCCTAGCCTACTTAACCCTTTTCTCCCACTCACCTCATTTCCCTATGTACTCACTCTTTCTCTCATCCACCAAACTACTCACTCCTTCACCTGTCCACCCACCCACTCTTGAGTGGTCATATATCTGTCTCTCTTCATACATGACCCTTTGTATCTCTATGGGTGAGAGTATGTGAGGGGGATATAATTGCTTTATCTGTGTCATTGTCACCCCTGGATCAGAGCTAGAAAAGAGAGTGGGCCTGGGGATGAGACAAATTTGGGTTTATTTTTCTCTGGGAAAAAAGTGCCTTTCATAGTCTAATAAATACAGTTATTAAATACACATGCATAAGTGTGGTTGTGAACATACACACAGACAGTAGGTATTATGGTGTAGTAGAAAGTGCTGAATTTGAAATCAGAAGACCTGGGTTAAAATCTGAGCTGGACTACTGGGGTAAGATATATCACCTCTCTGGATCTCAGTTTCCTCACCTGTAAAATGAGGGGATGGAGGGAGAAAGGTGACTTCTAAGGCTCCTTCTAATATTTAATTTGTACTCTCTGACTCCAGAGGGGAAAATCAAAGAGACAAATTCAGATGGGCAGAACCAGGGATTGTGGGGATGTGGGGAGGGGTGGGACGAGAAGACTTCTGGGGTCCCTTATAGCTTTAAATCTATGACCCTACCATCATTCCTTCCTAAGCCTCTAGCCTCCTGTTCTGTGTTATCATTGCAGATAAATTCATGGTGAAGATGCCCAACTTCAAGGAGCCAAATCTGAGCCAGAAGCCCTACTTCCTGGTCAATCTACGGACCCACCTGCTGCCCCAAGGCTGTGAATGCTGCATGAGTTGTGCTGTGAAGGGAGAGCCTAGACCTAGAGTCACCTGGTTCAAGGATGACGAGAGCCTAGAAGGCAATCCCAATGTATACAGTACAGATGTCCTGGGCGTCTGCTCCTTGGTCATCCCCAGTGTCACCCCCAAGGACAGTGGCAAGTACAAGGCTGTGGCTGAGAACAAGCTGGGCCAGGCAGTCAGCACAGCTACCCTCATTGTTACAGGTAATCATGGCATGTTAGAGTCACTGAACAACACTGATCGAATGCCCTGTATGCATCCTTCTCTTCTGGGAGCTTGCCTGGGGTGGGGTACCAGAGGGATCCAGAGGATGGAGGAAAGGCAACCTTTGCCTTCATTGAGCCCCTAATCTGATGAGGAAAATAACACAGGGATCTCCCACTCTGATGGGAAAGGTGTTGTATGCTAGAACTATGGGTCAGGATACCCAGTGGTACCTTTTCTAATATTAACTAATTATAGAACTGTGGGTTGAATTAGATCAGGGGGTTTTATCCTTTTGTGTGTATGTCATAGACCCCTACTCAGAATAATGTTTTTAAATGCACAAAATGAAATAAATAGGATTAAAAATAAATATATTATTCTGGACACCAGGTGGCACAGAGGACAGAGTGCTGGGCCTGGAGTCAGGAAGATTCATCTTTCTGGCTTCAAATCTGGCCTCAGACACTTATTAGCTATGTGACCCTGGGAAAGTCACTTATTTCTGTTTACCTCAATTTCCTCATCTGTAAAATGAGCTGGAGAAGGAAATGACAAACCACTCTAGTATCTCTACCAAGAAAACCCCACATGGGGTCCCCAAGAGTCTGACACAGCTGAAATGAATAAACAATAACAACAGGTAGATCAGGGATGCTTATCCTTTTTTGTGTCACAGACCCCCTTCTCAGAATAATGTTTTTAATGCACAAAATAAAATAAATAGGATTAAAAATAAATATTATACCATATTATATAATGTTATAATATATAATCATATTATGTTATTATATTACATTATATCATTATTTTATATTATATTCATTGTATTCCATTATAGCACATTGTTATAACATGTCTCATATCTTATATTAAATTGAAATATAGTTACCAAAATATTTTTTTAAAACCCTGTTCACAGATTCCCACCCCCCAGACTAGATGATTTCTAATTTCCCTTCAAGCTTTAACGTTCTCAGGTTCTATGAGACGATGTGCGTACGTGGCCTAGTGGATAGAGTATCAGGCTTGCAATCAATGAAATTGGAGTTCAAATCCTTCCTTGGACACCTATTAGTTGTATTAGCTTAGCCAAGGCACATAACCGCTGTCTGCCTTAGTTTCCTCATCTGTAAAATGGGGGTGATAATAATAGGACTTACCTCGGGATTGTTACGAGGATCAAATGAGGTAATGTGTATAGTGCTTTGCAATATTAAGGCCCCATGTCAATGCTGACTATTATAAAGCCACATAGCAACATTGTAGCATGATGTACTTTATAAAACAGCCTTCCTTGGAGTTGAGGAGAGGCTGCTTGTATTGGAGGCTGTGTGCGATTGAGGGAAGGCTTCCCTTAAGAAGTGGAGGTTTGAGCTGGTTTTAGTGGAGATCTACAAGAAGGATATCTTGAGCTGAGAGAATTAGCCTTACCAGAAGAAGGGGTCATTGAGATGGGTCTGGGAATGACCATATCCTTTAGTTTGCTCAGCTAAAGGAGTTTAAAGAGAGAGGTCTTTGGGATGTAAACCTCTTTAATGTGGGAAGGTGGCCGGGAGTTTGGGCTTTCGTGGGCTCTGCCTCAGCTTGCCTATTCTTTCCTGAGGGCATGGATTATGTATCAGTTCCTGTTTCTCCCTCTCTCTCCCAGAATCCTGCTTCTAGTGTGACTGGCACCATGATGGCCCTGCCCATCCCTGCAATGCAAAGAATGGATTCTCCCAAGGACCCAGTGCTCCCCATCATCCTGCCTCCTGCTGGCTCCCACAGGGCCCCTGGGATCTGTGGGGTGGGGAGCCCATAGAAGGTTGCATTGTGATACATAGGCAGAGCAATGGGGAGCTTCCTGGGGAATTCTCAGCCTAGCAGGCCCCATCAGGAGGGGGCCATAGAAGCTGTATAGATGAACACTTGTGGCACCAGCCCCTTCACCATGGTCCTAGAAGAGCCACTTGCCATATTGCCATGGCAGCAGACTTGCCCTACCCTCTTGCTTCATTCTTCATCCTTTGATGACCACTTTGTTTTCCCAAATGACTCACTCAGCCAGGAACAACAAGAGTTGTGGTTGGTATGAAAGGAAAGCTAGGGCCAATGGACAGGAAGAATTTTTGTGTATCTTATCATTAAATTATTAGTATGCAAATGGCTATAAAGTGGATGCAAGTCAATCTGGGATGGAGGTTGTGTCCAGGCAGAGATACACATGCACACCCCCCGCCCCCCACCACAAGCATCTCAGGCCAGGTCCTTTCTCTAAGCCCTATTACTATGCCCATCCTTATTTACTACAAAGATAGTGAGTCTCTTGCTTGGCAAGAAGGGAGAAAATTAAACTTTAAAAAGCCAATCAACAAGCATTAATTGATTCTTTGCCATGTACTAAGTGCCATGGGAGCAACAAAGACAGATATGATCTCTGCCCTCAAGGATTTGATGGTGAAGGTTTAGTTTGAGAGACAAGACACAAACACATTAAAAAGTTAAAAAGCAATACCAAATGATTGGTAAGAAAAAATACTCTGTTCTAGAAGTTCAGAAAAGAGAAAGATCACTAGGAGCTCAAATGGCCATGGAGAACTCCATGGACAACTTTGTGTAGGAAGTGGGATGTAGGCTGGACTTTGAAACATAGGTGGTTCAAATAAGTAGAAAGTGGGCAGGGCAGGGCCTCTTCTCCAGCAGAGAGGTTTGAGCCTACCTAGTTCAGGGCTAGAAAAAGACTATCTAAAAGGTTCTGTGGGAAGGGCTTGCCTTGTCCCTTGATAGATTCCCCCAGTACCACTGTCCTAAACGTGAAGAAAGATGACTTCTCTCCAGTAAGGTCCCCAGGAAAGGCCATACTAAGGCCACCCAGGTTGTTTTTTCTTTCCCAGGGCAAATAGGGTTGGAGTCAAAGAAGGGAAAATACTTCCATTCTTCTAACAATTGTGCTGAGTTCTGGGTGACACATTTTGGAAAGAGAATTCGTCAGCTGAGAAATGTCCAAGAGAGGGTGAACACAGTGGTGAAAGACTTGGAGACCATGCCAAGGAAGGCTCAGTTTTTGGGAGTTTCATCAGGAGAAGAAAACACTTGGGGGCAGACTTAAAGGGTTGTCCTATCAAGGAAGAATTAGGTTTGTTCTGGGGGCAGACCTAGGAGCCAAGGGTAGAAGACTAAGACAGGTAAATTTAGATTTGAAATGAGGAAAAATTGCTTAGCAATCACAGATGTCCAGCTAAGGAATGAGTTGCCTCAAGATGTAGGGGGAGGGGGGGTCCCCATCACTAAAGGTCATCAAGTGCTAGTCATTGGGGATGTTGCAGAAAGGATTCCTATTTAATGATAAGTTGGACTCCAAGTCCTTTGGGTTTCTATGGTTTTGGGCATCAGAGCTCTTTAAGCCTTGGAAGGGCCCTAGGTCTGGCAGACTTGCAGTCAGGATGCTCTGAAGGAGCCTCTCATCAGCTCTTCAGGTACCTTGAAGGGCCCCTCTTCAGGAGAGGAAAGAGGAGGTGGGAACATTGGAAGATTTGGAAGATTGGAAGATTGCTCATTTGAGCGGGAGACAAATGCTCATTTTGGACCTCCCCTGACCAGAGGTACTTCTGGCTTCCAGTTGCTGGGATTAATCCCTGTGTAACTTCTGCCCAATGCACACTTACCAAGTCTTGACACCTTCTGTTTTCCTCAGCTGTCCTCATGTTATTTGGAATTTCCATTTTCCATCCTTAGCTTCTCCACACCATTGTGTGATCTGCTTTTTTTCTTATTTCCAAATTCCAGCGACCTGGGGCAACATTGAAGGGCTTTTCACAACCTTTGCAACAGGAAGGAAGGAGCTAGGTTGGTGAAAAACTATGGGGAAAATCAGATGGGGTGCACTTGATCCAATGAGCCACTTCAGAAAAAAATAAGTATTTCCTAACTTATTAGTTAGGACAGTCACCACTTAGGACTATGACCTTTTCTTCCTCTTCCATAATTTGGGTGCACTCCTTCCTGCCCATCTCTTTTACTCCTGTCCCACACATACCTGACACAAGAAGAAAGAGGCTTGAATTACAAGAAGTCATTCAAGCTGGTTATTAAAAATAACTTGTTTTGGGGCTAAAATATGTGACCAAAGGAATTGATACAATGGCTTCTGGAAAAGTTTTTGAATAAGAAAAATATCTGCCTGAATAGAATAGGTTAGGTCCATCCCTGTGTATGGAAAGGAGACTGAATCAAACGACCTCTGCCCATGTAAACCGAATCACACATAACCCCACCAAAGAAATCTACCCACTCAAGGACATTACTCTTCTCATGTAGGCCTTGTCTGCTTTCTGCAGGCCCAACTTCAGCTACTACTGCTGCTACTACTACAATTACTGCTGCTGCTGCTGCTGCTGCTGCTACTATTACTATTATTATTGCTGTTGGTACTACTGCTGCTACTGCTACTGTAACTATTACCACTCTGTTGCTGCTGCTACTAGTACTGATGCTACTACTACTGCTGCTGCTTCTGCTACTGTAACTATTACCACTCTGTTGCTGCTGCTACTGCTCCCGCTGCTGCTGCTGCTGCTGCTGT